TGCCTGGTGCTGGGGCGGGGAGGGTGCTGCTCAGAGAGGGCTGCAGCAGGGACTCCCCTGGGAGCGTTGTCCAGGTACCTGCCCTTGTTGCCATAGTAACTGAGCACCTCCTGCTGTTCCTGGATTTGTCCTCCTGGGAGGCTGGCAGGGGCTGCTGGAGTGGGAGGCGGGGGGGAGAGGAAGGGGGCCTGAGGTCCCGGAGACTTGCCTGAGGTCCTGGAGGAAGTCCAGAATCCCAGTCCCGTGCCCTGCCCACCGGGCTGTCCCAGCCTCCCCCTTGGGCTGGGCACGTGGTAGGAGGGACAGCGGGAGTGCCATCTCTTGGGTCGGGCAGGGTCGGGGTGTGTCTGCCATTGCCAGGGCAGCAGCAGCTCCCCCCGTCTGCGGCAGGGTCCCCGGCTGAAGGGCAGGAGGCCAGCGTGGCTAGCAAGGTGCTCTGGGGGGCTCTGGGCTGGCTCTGCAGTGCTGTGTGCTGCAGATTGCCTCGGGGGCTCTCCTCTCGTGGTAGGCGAGCGGGGCCTGCTGAGCCCTTGCATGGAGCATCACGTGCGTTTCTGGGATGGGGGCCAGGTGAAGCCAGACACCATCATCCATGTGTGGCGGGAGAACGCTGGGGCATACCAGCAGGAGATGGCTCGAGTCACGAAGGCTGGTTACCAGGCCCTGCTGTCTGCCCCCTGGTACCTGAACCGCATCTCGTATGGGCAGGACTGGCAGGCGGCCTACGAGGTGGAGCCGCTGGCGTTTGAAGGTGTGTCCCTTGCCCAGATGGGATGTGTCGGCCCCCCCTGCAGGGGCTGGCTTGCAGCCTCGCACGCAGCTGGCTGGCCAGGTTGTGATGCGGAAGCCCTGGCTGGTCCATTAACAGCGAGCAGGCCAGTTGAGTGCTTCCTTTGCTGAACCCAGCGAGCACAAGCGCGTGTGGCCTTGGCTCCAGGTACAGCTGCAGCCTGGTGTGAAATGGTCAGACTGTCCCTTGGCATGTGGTGCTGGCGGCTGCCATCCGGGCCTCCAGGGAGTCTCTACAGCCCGAATGGGTGGGGCAGGCTCTGTGGCTGGAGGCGCTACCAGACTCCTCTCTGTGGGCACTGAGGGCCGTGCTCAGTGGGTCACGTTGTCTTCTGTCCTTTGTCATTTGACAGGCAGCCCTGAGCAGAGAGCGCTGGTCATTGGCGGAGAGGCCTGCATGTGGGGGGAATACGTGGATGTAACTAACCTGACGCCCAGGCTCTGGTAAGAGAACCCAGCAGCGAGGAGCTCTTCTCTTCTCACAGAGGTGACTTTCCTTGGCCCACTGTCCGCCCCACCGGGGGGAAGAGATTTGGGCCTGTGTCTCAGTGGGAGTGCACAGCTGTGGTGATCCCCGCGCTGGAGTGCTTGGCCCCCATCAGCCTGGATTTGTGGCTGTCTGCTGGCTGTAGTGCGGCCCCGCAGCAGGGAGCAGAAAGGAAGTGCCCCCGCTGTGTGAGTGCATCCCAGCTCTGTGCAGCGTGGGGCGTGCTCAGAGTGGGGTGCACTGGCAGAGCAGAGCAGGCAGCTGCCTGCCAGCTGCGTGTGAATCCTGTGGACATGCACTGGCCCCAGTGCTGGCTCAGAGGGCCCTTTGGAGATGAGTAGCTGGGCTTAGGGGCGCTGCAGGATACGGGGCTTTGGTCCTTGTGCCACCTCCATCTAATGGCCTTGTGTTGAACTGCATGGCCTGAATCGCTGACGGTCTCCAGCCCCCTCAGGCACAGCTAAGTGGCTGTTACCCTAGGCTGGACTCGGCGTGGTTCCTCTAGTGCTTGTTTTCCAAGGGCCTTTAAAAACCCCACCAGCTAAATGATTATCAAAATAAGAATGTAAGTGGGGCCAGCCCGAAGGTCCATGCAGCCCTGGGTCCTGTCTGCCCACAGGGAGTAAACAGAATCGGGAATTACCCAGTGATCCCTCCCGTCGCCCGTTCCCAGCCCCTGACACACACAGGCCAGGGGCACCCTTCCTGCCCAGCCTGGCTTATAAATTTTGATGGACCGATACAAATAGTTGTTGGCTTAAAATGGCCAGTGGCCTGCTCCTGTCATTCTCATGGCAGATGGCCCTGCTCCGGGCTCGCCAGCTCAGCTGGCAACGGAGAGGTGTCAGCTGGAGTTCTCTAGGCCCCGTGGGACTCATTACCCCCTCCTGGGAGGATGGCACTGGAAGGCGTATGTGAGGTTGTCATGCTACCGTCCCACTTCAGTTTTCTTCTTGCCTTCTCCCCGGGTGAAACTGAGCGAATGGGTCTCACTGCTGAGCGGTACGATCCCCTGGCCCTCAGAAGGACTTAGCCAGTCTTCCTGTCGTCAGTCCTCTAGCACCACTGGTCTCCCCCGCTCGACTTTCCCCTCGTCTCCACTTACGCTTTACCATGCAGGGGCGGCCTCTCATATTTTTGCTGCAAAACGTTACTGAAGGCGAGATCCTGGGGCGTCTGTTCTGCCGTCGCATCCTGTTCAGTCTGTGTCCAGGTGCGGTGGCCATTGCCACAAAGGTGCACACAAGCAGTGTGCTGTTCGTTGGGGAACATCTGTGAGGAACCAGCTGGCAGGTTTCCTTAAGTATTCTCAGTCTCTCGGCTGCGGGCTGGCCTCTACCCACCTCCCAGGGTCTGTCTACGCTGCAGTCGCTGGGTGTGTTTGCCACACGTGCACATGTACCCAAGCGAGCTTTAATGTAGTTCGGCGCCAGTAACAGCAAAGCTAGGGCAGTGCTGGGCAGGTGTGTACTACTACTAAAGCCTTGTACTCCACATGGAGCATAGGTCATCTACAAGTCTCCTCCACTTGGCTCTGTCCCTAGACAAAATCCGACTGGCTATTCTGGGGCCGGCACTAGCTCGGTTAAAACTCACTTGGGTGGGCTGGCCTGAGCTGCAGCCATCCGGTAGTAGCACCCTTGGCAGGTGACACTCTGCTTTCCCAGTGACTTACAAGCACGAGTGGGTCAATGCTGCTAATTTGCCGAGGCGCCGGTTCGATTTTAAAGCTGAAACCAAACACATTGGATTTGCCAATTGAATAAATGTTCCAGCCACTCTTGGAACGGAACAGAACTCAGAAAAGCCCTTTCTGTTGAGCGCAGGGAGAAATCACTTACTCAGTAACACCACGTCCTTTTCACATCCACCTTTACCGTGGGACAGCACTTTGCCAGTCAGTGTGCTCAGTTGTTCTTAGCCAGACAGCAAGTTTATTATTTCAGCCAGAACCACCTAAGGATACAATCCACAGCCTTATGGTCACATTTAGATAGCAGAGGGGCCAGCATGTGCTGAATACAACATGCTGCTTATACAGCCATCAGTACAAATCACCAGCACTTCTTCTTGCGCTTCTAAGGGACAGTTACCAGTTCCCTAGTGTGTATAGAGTATTTGTCACATGTCAGGTAACTGCAGAGAGCAAGGCTGAACTAGTGTTTGGTACGAAAAGGAGGAGATGAAAACATCAAAAGCGACAGCTCCGAGTTGTTAATCGAGGTTCTTTCGGGCCAGTTGTACATAGCCGATCTCAGGTTCCTTGGGGTCTCCCTACAAGGGGAGGTGACTCAGCTAACGGGCTTTCAGGTTTTTAAGTAATACAGGCTCCGAAATGAAACCTCCGGCCTCCACTGTGCTGGGAACCCTGGGAGGGGAGAGCCTGCCCAGGCAAAGGGCTGGTCCAAGATGCATATCTCGTTGTGTATCTTGCTTCTGCAGCTTTTTTCAGAAAACTGAGCTGCCTCTCCTCCCCCCGCACTGCTTCCGGGAGTGTTGCAGGGGGTGTGGCTCTTGTTTCCAATTGGCGTCTGACAAACGAACTCTCAGTTTTCCTGCTGCTTCCCACAACAAACAGTAACTGGTGTTGGCTTATAACAGATTCGTTTGATGCTTTTTTTTAATTGGAGGTTTTTGTTTTCTTCCTTTCAAGGATTGTATTTCTCTATGAATAGTGAGAAACATCACTATTTCTCCCCTTTAACCAATTTCTTTTAATATTCCAAAGCTATACCCTGTATAGGTGCTTCTGTCTGTCAGTGTTCTTTTTCCTCCTTGTTATTTGGAATTAGCATCCCTTCCAAAGTGTAACAACCCTTGCAAGAGAAAGCCAGCAAAATCCCGTCGAGTTCTGCTGACTTGAGTGGAGCGAGCCCATTCAGTTTCGGTTGCATATAAAGCATTTCACGTCCTTAAGGGTTTGCAGAACAAGAGAATGTTTTGAAGGAACAGAATAGATTAGCCACATCTGGAGAGAGTGATTCCTAAAGCAAGCAACTGTGTTGGGAAGTTTAGCCCACGGAGCCTTTAGTTTTCTGGGCCTTGCAGCAAGCTGCTATTTAAACTGTTTATTTGATTTACAGTTGCCCACCCAGAAAAAGTCTCCAGTACTTAATTGGCTCACAGGATGGAACAGATACAGATCCTGACTGTGTAGCAAAGCAAAGTGTCTTGCCCATCAGACTCCAGAGGAAGGAGTGTTCGTAGCAGCCAGCTAGTGAGACGGGGGCAGGTGCAGATCAGGAGGGGAACTTGTCTGAGTAACAGAGCTGTGCAGAGTTTGTTTCCTGTTTCTTAGTTCTGGGGGGTCTGAGGCTTCTCAGCCCCGTCTTTCCTGCATGCTGGGGACTGGATGCTGGTCTCATTGCTGTGAGTTCCTTCAGGGGAACTGGCACATGGAACAGGCGGAAGGGTGGTAGCTTCAACCCTGCTTGTTCAGAGGAAATACGAGAGTAGTTGCTTTTCCCTTTTAAGGGTCTTGGGGACTAACAGTTATTCGTGATATTTAAGGCACGTTTGATATTCGACTTCTCATAACTCCCCTGCCGCCTCCATCACCATTCCATTTTTTTCCGGCCTTTGAGCGGCTTTGGTTCAGTTCAACCCTGTGTGTGCTGACACAATGATAGCAAAGCGTAGCAGCCTGGTAATGGTTCCGCACACCCAGGGCTTGCACCCGGAGCCCCCGTGCTCCTCCGCAGGTTAGTGCATCCTTTCGGCAGACACCCCTGCATTGCTGCCTCCTCTCAGTCAGTTCAGAGGTGTCTGGGAGCTCATGCTCTGAGCAGCTCTCTGGCTCCCTGTGCAGAGTGACCCATCCCTGTGTCCTTTCTCCAGGCCGCGAGCAGGGGCTGTAGCTGAGAGGCTGTGGAGCAACGAGACGGTGAGAGATCTGCAAGACGCGTATGCGCGACTGGCGGGTTTCCGCTGCACGCTGCTCAGGTAATGGTGGCTGCCTTCGCTAGCTCCTTCCACCCGAGACTCTGGCTAGATGGGAGGGCAGGGGTTGCCGCTGGGGTGCGCAGGAATGGGCATCCCTTTGGAACTGCGGAGGGTCTGCAGGGAGGCAGGCTGTAAGTGGGAGCCAGGTGTTTCCTAGGGCCCTGGGATTATGCAAAGTGAGTGGTCAGGACCTCAGCTTGCCATCTGGGGGGCTGGCAGCACTCGGCACAAAGCTGCCAGGGCCGTGCTGCAGCATTGCCTCGGCGCTGCCTCCAGGACACGCCGGCACCGTTTGCTGGAGCGTGTGGCTTTGCCGTGCGGGTCTCCGTTGCTTAGCCTGTGAAAATCGGGCTCCTCCCTGGCCTTCCTGAGCCCTGACGTGTCATCAGATACCTCAGAGCTCCAGTGTCCGGGCGAGAGGCGACAGGAAGCCTTCACCTCAGCATGTCCCCTGGGCAGGGAGCCGAGGAGCGCCTCCCCCTCCAAGGTCCGACTGCCTGGCTTCTGCTGTGACCTGTTCCATCTCCGTCTCTTCTGTTCCAGGCGCGGCGTCCAGGCGCAGCCTCTCTTTACGGGGTTCTGTGACGTCGAGTATGGTGGGTCCTGATTGGAGCGTGCAGCTGCTCCCACCCGCGCCGTGTGTGTCCGGACGAGAGCGGCGCCGTGTGCTCCAGGGCGTCCCCGTTGCTCTTGCTCTTGCAATGAGCCGGTTTAGATAGTTGCCTTTTTTCTACGGTTTGAATTTTAAATCCAATAAAGGAGGAATCCAGAGGGAGAAGGCGCCTCCCAGTCTGTGCCGGTGCCGGGGCAGGTTGCGTGAGGCTCCTGGCCGCCTGCAGGGCTGCGTGCTGGGCTCCAGTCGGCTGTTGCCCGGGATGCGCGGGGTTTGGCCCGTGGAATGGTCCTTACAAGGCGAGCCCAGGCTGGAGCTGCCCTCTTGCTTTGTAGTGGCCCATGCAGCACCCCAGGCCAGAGGGAGAGGCATTTGGAATGGACACCCGTGCCCCCCAGCAGGGGACCCTGCCTGTGCCCTGCACCCCACTCCTCGCGCTGCAGAATAGCTGCTCTCCCCTCTGCCTCCATGCCTGCCTCTGGGAGCAGCGGTCTCCACTCAGGGTTGGTCCCTGTCTCCGCCATGGTGCTGCTGCTGGGGCCAGGCTGGCCTGGCTCACGCTGTGGGGCCCAGCATAGCTTGTGCGTGGTCTGGGTCTGTCTCGGGCTTTGAGGGCACAAGGGGGTTAGCCAGCGGGGACAGGCAGTTGTAGGCTTAGCTGGCTCCACTTAGCTGTAACACCCCCCCTTTTCCTAGCGCGGACGCCCCATTGGTGTGCAACCCTCTCTCCAGTGCCAATGCGCAAGCTGCCGGGGATGGAAGAGTTTAACCGGGTAGCCAAAGAGCGGATGCCTGTTGGTGACCGTGAAGGGTTAAATTCTGCCTGGGGCTGCGGGCAGCTCCCGCAGCTCAACCATGTGACTGCTGAGAATCGGATCCGTTCCAAGGTTAATATTTGTATTCGTTGTTTCCATCCCTGCAAGCTGGAAGTGGGGACAGGCTATGCCAGGCCAGTTAGCCCAGCCCTTGCTTGGTCTGCATTTCCTCTCTCCTTGTCCCTGTGAGCCCCGGGGCTTGCAGCCCAGCTGTGCTTTCCTCTTCATGCCTGTCCCTGCTCCCCCTCCTGGGCGCTGCTTCTGCTCTTGCCTGAGTCTTGCCCAGGGCCGTTATGAGGCAATCGTTCCAGCTTCCTCTCGCAGCTTCCCTCTTGCCATCTGCTTTTCAGGGAGCCCAAAGGGAGCTGCCCACCACTATTACGGTCCCATCTGGGCTCTCCCTCACAGGTCCTAATTTTCCAGTGTGCTGGGGGGCAGGTGTTCTGCCCCAGGTCCTCTCCGCCCCTTCACCTGCCTGTGCTCTCGCTGGCCAGCCCTTGGTGGGTGGGCAGCGTCAGGCAGGACTCATCAGCGTATCATCCTCCCAGGGTTTGAGTCCTGGCAGCGAGGGTCGGCCCACATTTCTCTTGGGGTTGATTAGATGCTCCTAGAGGCAGCGACCAGATGGGCTGTTCACTAGATGATGGCTGAGGCAGGACACCCGTCCCTGACGGCGAGGATCTCCTGGTCTCCATCCAACTGGCATCTGGTTCTGAGTTGACCGTTCTGTACTGGACAAGATGCTGCACGGTAGGAACTAGGGATGCCATGTCCCCTTTCAAAAGTTAATTAGTTACATGGCATGTTGAACCAGGTAACTGGAATACTGAGGGTGGGGGCTGCTCTGGCCAGGCTGGGCCATGCCCACTGTGCTACGGGCAGGGGCTGTGCCCTGGGAGGGGGCTGCTCCGGCTGAGCCAGCCACTGGTTAATCGGTTACCCTGGTAAGGCGAATGTGTACTGGGTAACCGGTTAACCCTTTACATCCCTAGTACGACCACTGTGCAGCTCTTCTTTAAATGAGCCAGTGCTGTGCTGTCACTTCTCTGCTACTGTTCACATTAGATGATTATTAAATTTTCATTAAAAATCTCCACAAGTGGCTGCGTTTGAATGTATTTTAAATCTCTAGTTCTCGAATGTGTTCTTAAAGGGAGAGTTATGTCTGCAGTCCTTCCTGCCACCACTAGGGGGCAGTCTTGGGAGAGCTGCTGTTTCTGTAGGCAAGTGGCTTTCAGCTCATGGTCCGTGGACCACTGGGAGGCCACAGAAGGTGGTTGTTACCGTAGAACGGTGGTTTTCAGCTGTAGGCCATGGACCCTGGCAGTCCACCATCTGTGTCTAAGCTCTCCAAAGAGGTCGTCACCTGCGTTTGCAAGTTTGTAGGGGTCTGCACAAGACGGAAAGTTGAAAACCTCTTCTGTAAGTGCTGCACGAGTTAAAGCCCAGGGACAGGGAGGGAACATTGCCAGGGGCCCTGCACTGTAATATGAAATAGTGTAGCACATCCCAGCCTCCTCCCTCGTAGGGTGCTGCTGCCAGGCACCAGTCTGCCGGGGCCCACGTGGTGCAAACGGAAACAGCCTGAACATCTCATCTCATTTAAAGACTGTGGGAAATTAATGCACTGCCTAAAATGCATGTTGCTAAATACAAAAATCAAACCAACAGGAAACTGCTGTCTTCAAATAATGTGGGATTGTGTTGTGCAGCTTGTGCTGACTGGAAGACTTCCCAAACCGGCAATAGAAATTGGTGCCTTGTTGGCAGGGCCTTAACTAGCATGACCTATGTGGTAAAGATCAGTGCAAAGCAGTGTTTCCTAGTGGTTACAGTACTGGACTGGGACTCAAGTACCTGGCTTCTATTCTTGGCTCTGCTGCGGTCCTTCTGGGTGATATTGGGCAAGTCACTTACATTGCTCTGTGCCTCGGTTTTCCCATGTGTAAAATGCCCTGAAGTCTAGGGATGAAAAGCAGTATGCAAGAGCTAGGCAGTAGTATTGCTTCTACGGGTGTAACTCTTCTAAACATCATTCAGCTTACAGAGAGCAGTTTTTTGGAACATCCAGAAAAAACGATTTTAAAAGCCATGTCTAACGCTCACGATTTCATCAGGAGTCTGGCACTACTTGGTGGTGTGTTTGAAGCCCTAGCTGCTGGAGTCCAGGGGTTATGTGAGATCTCCGTTTTCATTTCAAGCCCTCACTGGTACGAAGATAAGCTTGCGAACGTGACCCCAAGGAATACAAAGACCCCAACATTTCTTTGCTTTAAAAATCACTCATGACTTTTTTGGTGGGGTGGAGGAGAGTCATGGTTTTGGAATGCTTGAAATAGTTAATACTTGATTCAATACCTTTGCAGCAGAATACAGTGTTCTAATCCTTTCCATTGTTATGTTTAGGCTTAGCAGAATTTATTTTTTTTATACAATATAGAGAGGTGGCTGTATTTTATAGAAGCCTTATTGAGGGCACAGCACAAACCATCCCAGTATGCAGAAGGAATAGCAAATATGGCGGATGACCAGCTTGGCCAAACAGAGAAATCTTTGATGAGCTTAAACACAAAAGGGAAGCTTGCACGAAGTGGAAACTTGGCCAGATGGTGATAAAACCATTGTTCGAGCATGCAGGGTGTAAGCAGGGAGCCAAAGCGCAATTGGTGTTACTGCTGGCAAGGGATGAGAAGGGGAACAAGAAGGCTGTGTCTACATTGGCACCCTTTTCCGGAAAAGGGATGCTAATGAGACAAGTCGGAATTGCAGATGCCGCAGGGGATTTAAATATCTCCCGCGGCATTTGCATGACCATGGCTGCCGCTTTTTTCCGGCTCGGGGCTTTGCCGCAGAAAAGCGCCAGTCTAGACGGGATCTTTCGGAAAATAAAGCCTTTTCTGGAAGATCCCTTATTCCTGATTTTAAGAAAGATCGCGTCTAGACTGGCGCTTTTCTGCGGCAAAGCCCCGAGCTGGAAAAAAGCGGCAGCCATGTTCATGCAAATGCCGCGGGGGATATTTAAATCCCCTGCGGCATTTGCAATTCCGACTTCTCTCATTAGCATCCCTTTTCCGGAAAAGGGTGCCAATGTAGACTCAGCCGAAGGGTTTCTACAGGTATGTTGGCAACAAGAAGGTGGTCAGGGAAAGTGTCGAGACCTTTATTGAATGGGAGAGGCAACCCAGTGACAGACGATGTAGAAAAAGCTTAAGTCCTCAATGCCTTTCGGTACCTCAGTCTTCCCAGCCAAGGTCAGCTCC